AACGTTTTTAGATTATTATTGTTCCTTTACGATCAGAAGAGACTTGTGTTTTGTGATTCTATTCGTTCCTCCTCTCATTGTTATCCACCAATGAAATTGACAATCAAAGAATAAAAAATTGATATTTTGGGGACTCACCGGTCGTTGAAACACCCGGCGTCAGCTTGGCATATATTCCAATCCAACTCCAACAATTCCACTTTTCACGTTGATCCTTCTCTATTCGTGCAGTACCAGAGGCCGGCCGCCATGATGGATGTGCGCAGAGAAGTTGCGCACTAGCCGTGTTTTTGGCATTTGCATTTTTTCTACGTCTCGATTCTGTAATAATACAATAATACAGTCTGAGTTTTTGTGATAAAATCCTTTCTTGCCATGAATGTTAACTGATTATTGCATGAAAAATAATTATTTCCCCGGTTTAATCCCCTTTCTCACCGAAAATCCGCGGACGAACGCCAAACCCTGCAGCCCCTACCAGTGGCCAGTCGCCATGATGGATGTGCGCAGTGAAGTTGCGCAGTAATGATGTTTTTGACATTGCACTCTTTATACGTCTGGATTCTGCAATAATGCAATAATAAAGTCTGACTTTTTGATAAAATCATTTCTTGCCATAAATGTTAGCTGATTATTGTATTATTAATAATTATTTCCCCGGTTTAATCCCCTTTCTCACCGAAAATCCGCGGACGAACGCCAAAACCTCCATCCTCTGCCAATGACCCGCCGCCATGTTGAATGTGCGCGGAGGAGTTGCGCAATAGCGAAATTTGGCATTCCACTTTTTAGAGGTGTAGGCTTCATAATATGCACTAATAAAGTCCCATTACTTGATAAAATCACTGCCTGCCATCAATATTAACTGATTATTGCACTATTAATACTAATTTCCCGGGTTTAATCCCCTTTCTCACCGACAATCCGCAGACAAACGCCAAACACTCCATTCTCTGCCAGTGGCCAGCCGCCATGATGAATGTGCGCGGAGGAGTTGCGCAGTTGTTATATTTTGAATATGGTACTCTTGATTGCTCTTGATGTCAATATCAGAGGTAATATCCGTTAACTATCCAGTCTATACCGCCAAAAATTTATTTGCTTCCTTATGAAGTCTAAAAATAGTTATTTGTTTGCCTGAATTGAGTAAACTTTTGGTATTTTATATGCAGAAAAAAATGGCTTGTTTTAATGTCAATGGACAGATACTGCTGCAATTGAGAAAAAACACGTTCAGGAAATTTTTGTTAGGGGAAATTTTAGTCCGAATTAGTAAAAAACTAAAAAAAAGTTACTAATTAAACTTGCTCTTATTCAATTTAATTTTCAAATTTATCGACAGATGAATAATAAAAAAATGATCATATTTGTAATGGTATCATTTATTTATTTAACGCCATATGCAATAAAATATAATAGTGGAGGGGATGAGACTTTGGCACGTTTTTTGAATTCTTATGTTAATTTACAAGAAAATGGAAATTTAAAGGAAAATGTGATGCACCACATAATACTCTCTCATTCATTATTCCCCACTGTATATACGGGTAGTCATTGGAAGACGTCCTCCACGTGTATCATTGCAGAGTATTATCGTTCCCATTTTTAATCTTCTATGCTATTTTGATTCAATCGCTTGAATTCTCCATATTTCTCGGGGCGAAGAAGGTAATGAGAATCGACAGTCAGCACATTCATCTCTCACACATCCCCCATTCTTCTTAGTCAGGGATACCTCAGAGTTCATAACGGTACTCGAAAAAATTTCATTGAAAAACTATTGATTGATTTTGCATCCAACTTGTATTGGAAATTCTAACTGCACATTTTCTTTATAGGTAATCAAATAGAAAAAATCGGCAGAATGTCATCATTCTATACAACTTTTTCAATTGAGACATTCCCTATGCGAATTTCATCGACACGAATATTTCTATTTCCGTTAAAAAAATTGACCAAAAAAAGTTGGAAAATTTGAATAAGATAATCTGTCATTAGAATAAGTTGTATAGAAAAATCCAATTCCATTGATTTTTTCTATACATCATTTTCCATTGAACAGTTGTATTGAAAAAAAAACACACACACACACACACACACACACAAAGATGAGCTGTGGAAATTTTCAATAGAATCAACAAAAAACTAAGAGAAAGTTCAATAAAAATCCAATAGATTTTATCAAAGTTTTTCCATAAAATTTCTTTGTGGGTGCACTTGTGCCTTTCTGACCTTACTCCGGTGATAGATACAAGTGTTCTGGTGAACGTAATAGTTGTTATTTATGCATCAACTATTTGACAACATAATGATGTAATTCTTCTGTTTTGGAATCGCTTATTATCGTTGCAATTTCATTTAGTATATTTATTTCCATTTTATTGTTGTCAACTAACATGTCGTAATTATTGTTGCCTAAGGGTGAAGGTACCTTCTGCATCGCTGCGAGGTACATACGAACAGAGTATTGATATCTTTGATAGCGGTTCATTGCATTTTCACAGGGAAATATAACTCCAGATTTCAGAATTCAGGAATGATGAATTTTCTGTTATTTATTTTTTACAGGATAAATTGATTAATTTAATAAGAATTCACTTCAAGTTCCATTACAATTCCATTGGAATTTTATGAATAATTTTGTTTGTTTTTGCGCCTAATTGGTTTTTTTAACAAAGATTATTGGATTGAAAAAAACTCTTATCCATGAATTTTTCAAGTTTTTCTTCTTGGATTTTGACTTCTTGGATTTACAGATAAACAAAGAAAAATGATCACCAAAAATTTTCATAAGAAAAATCGGAAAAAATCTATTGATTAAAAAAAATTCAACTTGTATGAAAAATAGGTCTAAAATACCAACAGAATTGTAATAGAATATTAATAATTTTTTTCTCAGAACGAATTTTTTGTCCCTGTGAATCATTCCCCAAGAAGGACATGTACGTATGTGTGTATTCTGCATTCATTCCATATATACCGAGTATTCATCATTATAAGACACTTTTTCAATTTCTCCAGATAATTTTCATTACTTTGACTCTACCTGTTCGTCACATTCCAGATAAATTCACTCGAAGACTGAATTATAATTTCAGATAAACAAAAACATTTAGATTTGATTATTCATTTTTGAGATTCTCATGAAGAGCGATGAAGATATATCTCTCAACCACTTTCTCCGTTATGATTATTTTCCTTATGATTTTTGTCGGCTGATAACGGCACTCTAGGTCAAGGTACAATGCCATCAATAACAACAATAACAACAAGAATAACAACAAGAACAACAACAACAACAAGAACAAGAACAACAACAACAACAACATCAACAAGATAATACAACAATAATGACAGGGTTTTAATCGATTAATTATTGGATATTGTGGAGGTGTCTTAGAGCCAGTTTCCATTTCTGTTACTGTTTATGGTTTATTGCATGATTATTCACAGTTTTCTAATAAATAATTTCGCATTTCTTTATTCTTTTCGATTCTATTTCAATTTTTTTATCTACACAACTATTCAATTATTTACAGAGTTGAGGACGTTTTTTTTTCTTTTATAATTTGACCCGAGCAGTTAAAATAATACAAATTACTTTAACAATGAGTTGTTGGAAATTAATTTTAATTGGGATAAAATATTCAACTCTTGGACAGATGCGAAACTCAATGAATGAATGTTTCAGATTCAGCACTCGACATGGATTCTTTTTGTATAAATTCTTATTCATTATTTTCAAGAGTCGGATTAAAAATTTCCAGGCATGCATAACAAGATGATCCATTGAACTATGTCATTTCTGAATAAGAAAATCTCTGATAAAGTGAAGCTATCACATCGTCATAGCTATTCTATCAAAAAATTGTTGCATTTGAGTATTGAATGAACAAAACGACAGTAAATAGCAATTGCCCTGAATCATTCATACAATTTTCTCAAACAAATAATGTTTGGAAAGAAAATATAATAAATAACACTTGATATAGTCAAGTATACATACATTAAAATGTTGAATTCCCAACGAGACCTAAAACTGAAGCATTCATCCCTACCAAGAGTATTAAATTTCCTCCTCCAAGAGTATTAAACTCCTCTCTTCCCCCTCAACATTCGTCACTCACATACGTACATGTATAAAATATCTCCGCATGAATCTCGCAATCGTACAATTCCAAATCGTAAGTATCAATAATCTGTACATATTTCATATTTATTATCATCTATATCTATAATCATCATTTTGACACATATTTCGGATCTAAGTATTGTTACCACACACCCAGTCACACCCTCGAGATTCAGAGCTTCGGTAGTGATGATAATTCAGGGGAGGATGGGGCAAAATGGACAGTTGATTTGAGGTGAGTAGGTTAGGCTAGCTTATGACAAAGGGGAATAATTGTACTTTCCTACGTGTAAAAAAATGCTATTGCATTTCTATGGAAAATTATGCCATTTTACCCTGTCATTTTGTGAGAAATATTTTTTTTATGGAAAAATATCAATAGATTGGTGTATTGAATAATTTTTATAGAAAATGCCTGCAATTCTACTGTTTTTTATCTTTTTCTATAAAATAGTTTCTATTGGACATAGTTTCTATAGGACAAAAAAAAGAAAACCAACTAGAAGACAGCGAGCATATCACTGAGCGATGTCTTATTTTTTTATTTCGCCATCAATACATTGAAGAAAGGCTTCCGAATGGTCTGAAATTTTTATCAAAGTTTATAGCTTCACAATACTAACTATAGCGGCAAAATGCTTCCCCATTCGGAAACAAAAAAAATGCAATAGAATTTTTTAGTGCGTGGAATCATTGGAAAAAAAAAAACAAAAAAAAAGTCAAATGTCAATGTTGCCCCAGCTCCCCCAACATTTTATTCTTCATAAATAAAATAGAGGCACTCATAAATGGCCTAGAGTATAGCATTTCGACGTTATCATTCGTTTTATCTACGTGAATTTCATCGTTTCATAATGGTATAATGTGTTATCACTGGACCCAGGTGGCTGGCACCCACTGAGGCTCGCGTTCCAGTGAATTTATCTCCGTGAGTAATTGATTATAAGCACGATCAGTATCGTTATTAATAATGATCATGTCGAAGAGATGTCCGTACTTGTCCTCCATCTCCCTCGCCTTTTCGATTATATCCTTGAGCTCTTCCTCTTTGAAACTCTCGTTATTCTTGAGCCGTTTCTGACGCAATTTTTCGAGACTCGGAGGGGCTACGAACACCACATAAGGCTTCAAATCCGAATTCCGGAGGATTTTTAAACTCTGGGGATGGAGATTCAGAACACAAATTTTTCCGGAATTCACGACTGTTCGAATTGCCTCAACAGATGTGCCGTAGTACGCTTTCTCGTACTCTCCGTGCTCCACGAATTTTCTGCAGAGAATATCCGACTCGAATTGCGATCGAGAGATGAAGTGGTAGTCCTGACCATCAACTTCTGAACCTTTTCGTGGTCTACTTGTATCTGAAAATGACATTTTTCTTTTGTTGAGAATGTCCTATTATTTTTTTACCGACCTTACTGAGATTTTTTTTGTTTTTCTTTTTTTTATAGAAATTCCTCGACATGAATTTTCCAAATTTATTCCATTATATTTTGTTAAGAGATATTTTTATATAAAAATGTCAATCGAATAAGTTGTACAGAAAAAAATCGAATTCTATTGATTTTTATACAGAATATATTCCTCCACTGAATATTCCGATTGAATAAATTGGTCAAAAGCATAAATAAGATAATTCAATTAAAATAATGAGATTTTTCAACTTACGTGGTATCGCAGCAGCAAAACGTTCACTGTCCTGCATGAGACGTTGCCGCAGCTCGTGTCTTCCGATATTCGGAGGTCCTATTAAAACAATTGGTCTCTTATGACTTGCACGTGGGTAATAGAGTGCCACCTCTTCATACGTTAACACCTCCTCGCTGTCGTAATCTGAAATTGATTTATTAGTAATTATAATGAATAGAGAATTTTTAATGAATATGATGAATGTGAAAGAAATGATAAAATTTGGCCAATTATTTTAACCAAGTTTTTTCATATGCTTTTTCATATGCTTTTGAACAGGATTATATGATGATGGAAAAAATGATGAAATATTGGAGTGATCGAATGATTTTATTAGTCATACTAAAGAATAGATAAATAAATGGTTATTATATGACCTAAAACCTACCATCGATTGTCGAAGTTGAATAGAGTGGATACCCATCCTCATTCAAATTACCCCCAAATTTACTCCGTTTCTTTTTCTTCTTTGGATTTTTTCTCGTGCACAATAAGGTACTCGATTTCTTCCCTCCTCGGACCGTAGTTTTACCCCCCGCTATTGTTTGCTTCATGGATTCTCGCCTGAAAGAAAACCATTCCAACAACAACTCCATCATTCGACTATTGATTTGATGAGCAAAATATCAAGCAAGTACGTACTGATGCTGGAAGGCTTTACTTGGAATTAGACCCGCTAGAGTCTGATCCTCCTCACCCTCGCGGTACGCCTGCCACCAGTTGGAATCCTCTTGAGATATGACGTGGAGGACATCACCCTTCTGGAAGCTTACACCAAGCTCTCTACACGGTATATAAGGATCCTCTTCTGGGTCGTAGTCGAAGTGAGCTCTTACGTGGTGTATCTGTGGTTGCAGATTATGAGGAACCAATTGTTTTTATTTATTTATTATTTCAAATTCTCAAGGAGGATTTAAAGAAGGAAAAGTTTGAGAAAAAAAAATTTTCTATTCTCACCTGACTATTCTCATCTTTCACAGTGTTAGCCACATTATTTCGATAATTATTGGAGGCTGGTAAGACGAGGAAAGTCAAACTCCCCTGCATTCCAGCTAGAATATCGCAGACTTCATTGACACTCTTGCCTCTCATTTCGACACCATTTACTTCTAGAACTTCATCTCCTTCGTGGAAGAGACCAGATTTCTCTGCAGCACCACCTCGAACAACCCTTCCTATCAGAAAACAAAATATTTTACCTTTTTTTTCTACCAATTCTATAAATTATTGTATTGAATTAGTTTCTATCTATTTCTAACTATTTAAGAAAATTTGATGAAATTATCGGTGTAATTCGATAATTTCAAGAGAAATAGTCATTTTATTCGATTGAGTAAGCAATATCGATCAAAGGAACCAACCAATTATAACAGCATCCCCTTCATTTCTGACTGTAGCACCGAGTGGTTCATTCGTCTTCTCAATTTTAATTATCTTAATATTCTCTGTGTTTCTTGAATCTCGATAACTAGATGAAAGACTTGGTGTTTCACTGGGGGACGAGGAAGACGGACTCTGCTTACGTTGCACTCCATCAACGTATGATATCACCGAGTCGTGTGATAATAATAAACCCTCCATTTCGTAGCTCGTTAATAAGCCTGTTAGCTCCTCGACGAGGGCTATATTCTCGCTTGACTTTACGTTCGATGATTGCCATTCCTCCAGGACTTCGACACACTGAAAGGTAGTTCGTGGGTGTTCAAAGATGATGATGATGAAAGTTTCCGGAAATGGCTTCTTTTTTTTTTTTTTTTTTTT